GGAGGCCGCGCTGAGGGCCTCGGGTGACCCTAGCACCCCGTATCATGGAAGCCAAGATTCGGCTCCTTCCTCCGGGCGACCTTGGATTTAGGGGCTTCCTCCGGCTCATTATCCCTCTTTGGGAGGCCGGGGATGTTAGTGTGGTATGAGGTGTACGGAGGGGATGACAGACTGCCGTGTGCCCCCCGGAAGCGAGGGACACTTGAGATGCCCGCCCGGTAACCGGAACCGTACGCAGTCCGGACTCGCGCGCGTTCTAAAATGAGGACAAAGCCCGCCCGGATCTAGAGCGCGCGCGCGGCGGCAGCCAATAAAATGCCAGGACAATGGTGAGTGGCGGTTGGCTCCAGCCAATGAAAATATTTTTTGTTACGAGGTGGTCCCCGGCTCCGGCATTATAAAGAGCTCCACGAGTTGGCATTGTCAGGCGGTGGCACCGCGCGGGACGGAGTGGAGGTGTCTTTTGCGGTCAGTGTGCGGCGGCGGCCGAGCGGTGCGACACCGTCGGTGGACGCGGACGAGTCCCCGGGGGTGCGAGCGTGAGCGCGGCCAAGCCCGCGGAACCTTCCGCGGCGTCTTCGGCGGCGAGGTGAGCGGCCGGGCCGCGGGCGGTGGGCGGGAGCTCGGGGAGTGCCGCGGGGGCCTGACGTGCCGTCGCCGCTCGTTGCAGGAGCCGCTGCGGCCTGGCCGACCATGTCGGACGCGGCTGAGGAGCAGCCCATGGAAACGACGGGCGCCACCGAGAACGGACACGAGGCCGCCCCCGAAGGCGAGGCCCCGGTCGAGTCCGGCGCCGGAGCAGCGGCCCCCGCAACCCCGGCCGCGTCTGGGGGCGGGACCACGGCCACCCCGAGCGGGAACCAGAACGGCGCCGAGGGCGATCAGATTAACGCCAGCAAGAACGAGGAGGATGCGGGGTAGGTGCGGCCGCGGGCCATCGGGCCGCCGCCTTTGTTCCGGGGCAGCCTTTTGTTGGCGCCACGCGGCGGGGGGAGGGGCGGGTGCCCGCCGAGCGGTGCCGGGCGCGCTCGCCCTGCAGGCCCAGGCGCGGTTACGCGCATTGGAGTTTGCAGGAGTTTGCGGGGTGGACTTTGCGGGCGCCCTGGGCTGCCCGCGCGGGGTTTAGGCTGCAGCGGGCCTCGGGGCGGGAGGCCCCGGAAGAGGAAAAGCGGCCGACCTCGACTCGGGCGGCGGGCGCTGCGTCTGGGCTGCGTGGGCGGAGTTGGCGCGCGGCAGGCCCGGCCTAGCTTGCCTCGGGTCGAGAGGCGGAGTCACGGCCTGAACCCTGGGGCGCTCTCGGCCCCAGGAAACCCAGAGTTCCTCGGGACCGGTTCTTTGGAGGCGGGGAAGAACGGAAAGGAGCGTGTTTAGACTCAGGCGTGCGGGACCCGCTCATTTAAACTTGTGATAGGTCACGGGGCATGTTGACCTTAACTTTTCCCACACAGTGTGTCTACATCAGCTGTGAATCCTTGAGTTGCAATTGCCGAGTAACACCTGGGGATTAACTTGAAAGGCGGCGCGGTCGCAGACTGGCCCATGGGACGGTGGCTTCACAAGCCAGGAAAGCGTATCCGGGTCAGGCTTTTCTAAAAAGGTGTAAAAATCACAACCATTTTCCAAAATTTGTGGTCGTTTCCCTTTCAGAAAAATGTTCGTTGGTGGACTGAGCTGGGATACCAGCAAGAAAGATTTAAAGGATTACTTTACTAAGTTTGGAGAGGTCGTTGACTGTACAATTAAAATGGATCCGAACACTGGGCGATCAAGAGGGTTTGGGTTTATCCTATTTAAAGATTCTTCGAGTGTGGAGAAGGTAAGCTGGCTGTTTAGCAGCAGTCTGCTAGGATTGAGTTTTAAGGAACTCGTGTGCAGTGTTTGATAGGGACAAAGAGCTTAAGATCCTGCTTTGAGGGATAGTGCAGATGAAGTAGGGTATATATTGTGAGGGAGTGATTCTGGAGGAGTACAGTTCATCTGTCCCTCCCCCTCCCCAAAGACAGGGTTTCTCTGTAGCTTTGCAGCCTGTCCTGGAACTCTGTAGACCAGGCTGGCTTCAAACTCAAAGATCTGGCTGGCTGCCTCCTGAGCGCTACTATTTTAAAAGCTTAGCAGGGCAGCTACCTGGACAGGAACTAGAGTCCTGCCTCCTGCTCTCCTCTATCACTTATTTTATATGCCTGTTCACGGGCTTGATGCTAATTTTACTATGGGGATTATAAATCCAAGATTACAGTGAAGATACATGTTTTTATACAGTTTTAATAGGACCTCAGATCCTGAATCTTAGGTGTGTGTGCCTGATTCATCCAGGGTAGAGAGGCTTTCAGCACTAGATTATCCTGTGTTCTTTATGAAAGGTGGTGGGTCTTAAGTTGGACTGCTGGCTAGGAAGAGTGAGTGTAGAGCATGACAGGCTGCTGGGGTTGGCTTGTAGTGTTCAGGTGGTTATTGGTATGGGATGTTTGTAGAAAGTTGGGTTAGGAAGTCAGTTGGGCTTAGCTCCAGAGAAATTAAGCCCATTTTGTGTACTTCCTTAGAACCTGACATGATTCTGTTTTACACAGGTCTTAGACCAGAAGGAGCACAGGCTGGATGGTCGTGTCATTGACCCTAAAAAGGCTATGGCTATGAAGAAGGATCCTGTTAAGAAAATCTTTGTGGGAGGTCTGAACCCTGAAGCCACAGAGGAAAAGATCAGAGAATACTTTGGCCAGTTTGGGGAGGTGAGTATGGGCTTTGGCCCAGCCTGACTAGAGTATTAGTAGGGTTTTCTCTCTTAGTCTTTCCTTACTTGGGCTTATATTTCTGGGCACCAGAGGTTTAAACCTGAGCTTTATGTTTTTACAGATTGAAGCCATTGAGCTTCCAATAGATCCCAAATTGAACAAAAGACGGGGTTTTGTTTTTATTACATTTAAAGAGGAAGACCCTGTGAAGAAAGTTCTGGAGAAAAAGTTTCATACTGTCAGTGGAAGCAAGGTAAGGTGCCTCACTTGCTTTTGGCTCTTGGAGGTGTAGATTAGGTTGGGCCACCTATAAAAGCCCCTTCTAGATTAGTAAGACTTCACTGTTTCTCTATGCTTCACATTGCTGATTAAAACAGAGGGAGCTGGACTGGAAACAGCTGGTTCAGTGACTAAGAGCACTGACTCTTAAGACATGGTCCATCCATAGCACTCATGTTGGCTGACAGACCGCCTGTAGCTACAATTCAAGGTCTGATGGTCTCTGGCATCCGTAGACACCATATTTTAAATGCACAAGGTGCGTTAATAAAAACTGAAATGTGTTTAAGGAGGCAAAGAGGAAGCCAGGTTTCTGTGACTAGTCAGAGCTGCTGACTAGGTTTTTTTTTTTTTTTTTGTTTTATAGTTTTTATTTTTTGAGACGGGTTTCTCTGTTACAGCTCTGGCTGTCCTGGACCTCACTTCACAGACCAGGCTGGCCTTGAACAGGATTAAAGGCCTGTGCCTCTGCCACCATCGCCAGGCCTGACAAGATTCTTTGGTGCCCGATAGTGTGCCATACAGTCCAGGGGTTATGAAACTTGCAGTGAAATTTTTCCTGCTCCAGAGCTTGTCCCATTTGGGTGTGCTTTAGTCAACCCAAAGACTAAAAGCTCCTTGGGATTCTGGAAACTGATTGGAGTCATGTTTAGTGGAGTAATAGATTTTCAAGTTGTTTTGGATAGAAGGTGTGGCGCTGAGTGTAAGTTACTACTGGAATGGCAGCGGATAAGGTAGGGCGAGACTCCAGGAAGTTTATTTCTCTTGTTGGGAGATTTAAAAGCTTGGTTTGGGATTCTTAGTTTTCCCAGTAGACACTGACATTTTTCTTTTTCTGGTGTGCCCTAGTGTGAAGTAGTAGGAAGATCCTTGAGCCCTCTGGTAGTGAAAACTGCTGCCTTAGATAGAAATATTCAAATTAAATTACTCAGTGTCTTTTTTTCCCCCCTTTTAGGTAGGTTTTTCTTTTCTTTTTTCGGTGTAGCCCTGGGAATCTCTAGACTAGGTTGGCTTTGAACTCACTGGCTTGTCTCTGCCTCCTGGGTGATGGTATTAAAGGTGTGTACCACCTGCCCAGTTTACTCAGTGTTTTTAATTCAGTAAGATAAAATATAAGTAAGGCACATCATGGTAGGAGATATGCATCCTCTGACCCCCCCCCCCCCCTTTTGACAGTATTTCACTGCTGCCCTGTCAGGACAGGAGCTCCCTCTATAACATGGTCTCAAACTTCTGCCTCCAAGTGAGCTGGGATTAAAGGCATGCATCATGCCTAGCTCATTTTTTTTTTTATGGGAGTGTGTTAGGACTGGCTTTAGAAATATACATCCCCTTCAAAGTTTTCAGGTATAAAAGTGAGTCTGAGTCCTGTTCATATTTAGATGTGAAGCTGAAGCTCATCTCTCAAAGGGCCAATGCTTAGGGAGGGTGGCAGGCAGTATGGCTTTAAACAAAGCCTTACACTGGCTTTATCTGTTAGGTGGTCAGCTTTCCATCCTGTTGTATTTGAGTAGGTTGAGTTTCTTCTGTAAAAAAGAATAAAAAAGCTTAGTACCCATAAAGCTTCTCCAGTTGACCACCCCCAAATTCTTGGTTTTAGCTGTGGTTCTAGAAGCTTTCAGGTCAGGTGTGACCTGCCTACATCTGAGTATTGGCTGTATAGTAGAGGTCTTTGCAGCAGCCTAACCCTGAACTGTCCCACAGGACTTGACCTAGTGTCCTCTTGGCTTTTAGTGTGAAATCAAGGTTGCCCAGCCCAAAGAGGTCTATCAGCAACAGCAGTATGGCTCTGGGGGACGAGGAAACCGCAATCGAGGGAACCGAGGCAGTGGTGGAGGTGGAGGTAAGTGGAAGCTGGATGAAGACTTTCCCTGCCTGCAAGGAGCTTTCTGTGCCTGTCTTGGGGATTGCCTCTTGATGTTCTGTGCAGTAGGGTGGGCGGCTGGGTGTGAAGTGGGTACAGCTCAGGGATAGGAATGAGTGGTTTCCTGGGTGGAGGCTGTGTGCTTGTGCTGCTGTGGCTCATGGCTCCACGGAATGAAAGAGCCCTATCTTTCTCATTGTGCAGTTTGGGGCTCCAGGCCAAGGGGGCGTTTGCATTGCACTGGGAGAATGATGGGGGCACAGTGGATTGTGCTTAGCTTTGTGACTGTCCTGGGTCTTGGTACACAACATACCTGAGGGCAGAAAGGCAAAGCTGTGCCAGGCGCTTAGCTCCTTCCATCCCAGGCCCCTCTAACTCCAAAGCCTGAACTGCATCTTTTTCAAGGCAAAGCTACCAGGGGAGGGTGGAGGTGACCAGAGAGTGATTTGAGTGAGTGTGAGTAAGCTTCTATTCTCCAAGTGAAGTTACCTCCTGGATTGCAAGGCTTGGGCCTAGGGCCCTCTCTACCAGAACAGTAGCCTCTTGGCTTCTACCCGAGCTGCCAAAGTAACCCCGCCACCCAAAGGGCAGGATTTCCTCCATCCTAGCTCCTGCGTGTGCTAAATGGTCCATGGGCCCCTGTGCCCTGCTCCCCCCACAGGTCAGAGTCAGAGTTGGAATCAGGGCTACGGGAACTACTGGAACCAGGGCTACGGCTACCAGCAGGGCTACGGGCCCGGCTATGGCGGCTACGACTACTCGCCCTATGGCTATTACGGCTACGGCCCCGGCTACGACTACAGTAAGTAGGAGAGGGAGGCCCCATCTACTTCCTCCTAGGGGAGGCAGGTCAGATAGTGCAGGGGCCACTGGCAGCAGGGGCTTTGGAGTCAGACAGGCCTGGTTCCAGACACTGGAGCTACCACATGGAGCTCCATTCTAATTCAGCTTTCTCAGTAAGGTGTGAGAAGCTGGTGTTGCTGCGCAGAGGATGTGACAAGCGCCTGGCACTGGGTAAAATGTACAGTTAAGTAGTAGCCGCAACATTGTTTTTACTCCTAGGTCAGGGTAGTACAAATTACGGGAAGAGCCAGCGACGTGGTGGCCATCAGAATAACTACAAGCCATACTGAGAAGCAGCAGGAGCGGCCGACAGACGACCGCACACGCATTGTTTGGACGCGGAGTGAACACAATTATGTACCAAATTTAACTTGGCAAACTTTTATGGCCTGTCCCATGTGCATCTTATTTAAAATTTCCCCCAGAAATCACTCTCCTGTTTGCTATTCCAGAGCTCTAGTTGTAGGCAGCGTGTGGCGTCGCAGAGGCCAGAGCGGCATTAGGGGGCTGATTTTATTACCAGGTTACCCTGTACTAGATTGGAGGGTCTCTTTCCCGCTGTCGCTCTGCAGCCTGGACCTGTGGACCCTGGTTGTAAAGAGTAAACTGTATCTTAGGAAACCAGTGTCACCTTTTTCACCTTTTAATTTTATATTATTTGTGTCATACATTTCCAGTAATGGAAGTGTTAATTTTACTGTACTTTTTGGTACCTTTTGGGAATCTAATGTATTGTAAGGTATTTTACACGTGTCCTGATTTTGCCACGACCTGGATATTGAAGCTATCCAAGCTTTTGAAATAAAAATTAAAAAACCCCCATGCCTGGGTGAGAGTGGGATGATGCTCTGTGAGACCTTGCCCAGTGTTGGAGGTGCCAGATAATCTACTCTGCGACTGGGGTCTCCTGTAGCAGGGGTCCTTCAGCTGTTCTCACCTGACCTTCTCAACTACCATTTTGTTCTCAGCCTTCATAGCTAGAGGACATCTTATCACGTTTATGTTCCAGATCCTTAGTTTCTGTTCAGTTATCCAGCAGATGAAAGTTGAAGTATTGGGGAATCTCTGGGGACAAACAAGTCCCGCTTACCTGAAAGGTGCTTGACTGAGTTGGGCGGGATCGTCAGTGTTTTACAACTTCTTACTTTTTCTTCCATGTCTAGAAAAAAAAGACCACAGATGACTACAGATATGTCCTACATGAGTCCCCACTCTGCTACCTTCAGTTCCTAGGATGCTTGAGATGATAGTTCAGAGGTTGGGACCACTTGTCTAGCCAGGCTTATGCCCCACCATTTAATCCCTAACACAAATGGTACCAGGTGTGAACCCAGAGCAGTTCTGTTTCTAATTAAGTCTCTAACCGTGTTTTATACACATAGAACTCTTAGAGCTGTACCAGTTTGAAACATCCATTAGGGATTAGACTAATGAACCGGTTATCACTTAACTGACAGGGATAGAGGTTCCTTGTTGGTTTTTGTCTGTTGAGATCTGGGCCCTGTAAAACAACCGCTTTGGTGCCTAGTCATTTAGTTTGGTAGTTTCGCTACAAAAATTGAGGGAAACCTTGGGGTGCTTTTAACCTTTGATTTTAGACGTTATGGGGAGAATTTCATTGCAGTCAGGCATTCATTTTATTCTCTTAAGCAGCTTAGGGTATCCCCTAGTTTAAAGATGAAATATTTAGGGTATGCATAAGCATGGGTTTTTCCTGGAACTCTGGGCTGTGATTAAAGGTAGGTACCACTGCTGCCTGACCCAATGTGAGGACTTTTTAATATTTTTTAAATAAAGGCAGCCTAGGATTGTTTTGAGTGTGATCTCTCCCACCCATCAAGTGCTGACATCATAGGTGGTTGCCACCATGTCCAGCCCTACATCATGCTTTTGAGCTGAAGATGGTTTGGCTTGTTACCTGTTCCTTGTACACGCTGGGGAGGCTCTATCTACGATGTTGAGGATCAAAGCCAGGGCCTGATGTGATGCTAGACGAGTTGTACCAGGCTTACCTGTTAAAATGTCATCTATCTTTGCTACTACATGCTGTGCGTTGTCTAGGCTGAAGCACATTGGAGGCTTGAACTTGAGGACATTCCTCCCAGGGCCATCAGTGCTCAGTAAAATGTAGTTCTCCTTCAGCCTGTAAGAAAAAGATACTTCACAGTTTTCATTCTGGAGATAACCCTGATGGCACTCAACCATACCTTAAGTCTGACAAAATTAGTCCCCACCACTGTACTGCTGACTGTAGCTCTGGCTGTCCTGGGACTTGGGTCAGACCATGCTAGCCTTCAGCTTACAGTAAGCCTCCCTGTTCCCTGAGTACTGAGATTAAGATGTTACACCATCTTTTAGCTCTACAAGGTTTTATTAAGTTGCCCAGCCTGTCCTTGAAGCCTTTAAAGGCTCTAACTATAATCCAGCTACCACCTCACTGTACTCACCCAGCCCATTGCCTCTACCTGGTTCAGGTGCTGATTACTTGATGGCATTTGTTTTGATTTCCCAGTTTTTGTCCAAGACAAATGTTAGGTCAGGGCCACGCCCAGCCCTGCTTAGGGCGACAACAGTTAACACTATCCTGAGCTGGGTAATGTCACCTGTGACAGTATACAATTGTGGAGTAGATAACCCTGCCTGGGGCCCATTACTGTTGAGTAGGTAAATTAACATGTTTTACAATGTGAATAAAGGCAGATTCAAACCCAGGGTTTTTCTGTGCTGCTACAGGCTTTCAGCCAAGGATTAGGGCCCAGACAACTGGAGGCTCATTGCTATATAGGGTTACTGGGATCCATAGTGCTTTCTATTTGGGGAAGGCAGACTTATTTCAGGAAAAAAATTACCTGGAGACCAAGTATTCAGCCTCTTCAGTTGCTGGTGTCCTCAGGGTCTCATCTTTGATCAGATCCACACCGATGAAGAGCCCAGAGCCCCTGAAGGAGGTGACATCTTTACAGCCATGGTCCTTGCCTCTCTGCCCTGGCCTCAGCCACCCCCTTCACCCTGGAGATGGTGTGGGGTGGAGAAAGCTGGGGATCTTCAGAATCCCAGTTCCTTCTAGATAGTGGATGTAGACATTTTTTTTATCCCAAGGTTGAAAGATGGAACAAAGCTGAACCAATAGATATTTGGTTAGTCATGCCTGTTGCTCCCAGAACCGTACCTGACATCTCCAATGATAGGATGCTTGGCTTTCTGTTGGTTGAGGTGCTCCATTAGGAAACTGCCCACATTAGCGGCATGAGCCTGGAGCTGCTCTGTTTTCAAGACATCCAGGACTGCCAGCCCCACAGCACAGGACACTGGGTTGCCACCAAACTGAACCAAGGGACAGTAATATCAGGTGCTTTGTCAAATGGACCATCATCCCATGGAATTGCCACAAAAACAACTGGGAAGGTCAAAGGCCTAAAGCTTTCAACACTTTGGGCCGTCCTCTATGATACTGGCGTCTTGCAGGTCTTCAACCCAGGCCAGGTATAAGGTAAGCAAGAGACTTAGAACTGATCCAGCTCCTCCCCTGATCTCAGCACCAGGCATGTACATGGTATACAAAGACACGGGTAAGATAACAGAAATTTTTTGGAAAAAAACAAACAAGCAGAAATGGGGAATGGCTCACATGCTAAGAGTTGTGCCTAAGCTGGGCAGTGGTGGTGCACACCTTTATTCCCAGCAGTAGGGAGGCAGAGGCAGGCAGATTTCTGAGTTTGAGGTCAGCTTGGTCTACAGAGCTAATTCCAGAACCGCCAAGGTTATGCAAAAGAAGCTGTCTTGAAGAGTTCCTAGCAAACTGGAAGCCTTGAGTTTAGTCGTTAGCACTAGAAAAAATAAGGGGTGGTGGCTCATGTCTGTAATCTCAGTATCTGGAAGTTAGAGGAGAATCAGGTCTCCTATATGGAGTTAAAGGTCAGCTTGGGCTAAATGAGACCTTTCAAAAAAAATATTGGGATTGGGAAGATGAATAGTGGGTAAGAACACTTGCTGCTGTAAACATGTGGGCATAAATTAATCCCCAGCATTGATGTAAAAGGCTGGGCAGAACTGCACGTGTCTAATCCTGGCAGTGGAGGTGAGGCAGTGGGGGACAGGAGGAAGCATTGAGCACCCTCTCCCGGCCTTCACCCACGTGCATGCATACCACACAAAAACAAGATGACTTGTAAGGTGCTACTGAGATTGCCTGATGAGGAAGGTGAGAGGATCACCTCCACAACGTGGTCCTCTGACCTGTATGTGGTCAGCAACACAGATATCCCCCTCCAGTGCCAAAATTAAACCTGTGGAAATTCCTTTAAAATACAACTTTGAGGAGACAGGCACAAGAGGATTTGAAAAAGCTGCAAGAATCTGATAGGTTAAAATGGACTGTATTTGTCTCTCATATTGCTGAAATCATAACTTCTATTACGATGGCTGGATGTTAGTGGCTCATGCCTTTCCCCAGCACTAGGCAGAGGCTAGTGGTGGTGGCTGCACACGCCTTTAATCCCAGCACTCGGAGGCAGAGGCAGGTGGATCTCTTGAGTTCAAGGCCAACCTGGTCTACAGGGCAAGTTCCAGGCCAGGCTCCAAGGCAACGGAGAAACCCTGTCTTGAAAAACAAAACAAAAAAGAGTCCAGCCTGATCTACAGAGCGAGTTCCAGGACAGCCATGGCTATGCAGAGGGAATAGAACTGTTGGAGTAACATTTAAATGTCAGTAACATTTGAGCAAAAGCAGGTGGGCAGGGCTGCAGTGGCGCACGCCTTTAATCCCAGCACACATTTGGGAGGCAGGCGGATCTCTGTGTTTGAGACCAGCCTGGTCTATAAGAGCTAGTTCCAGGACAGGCTCCAAAGCTACAGAGAAACCCTGTTTTGAAAATCCTAAAAAAAAAAAAAAAACCTTTAAAAAAAAGGAAAAAAAAAAAAGGCAGGTCTACATAGTTCCAGTCCAACTAGGGCTGTATTGTGAGACTGTTTCAAAAAGTTTCTGTGTATGCAGGTGCATGTCCATATGGGTGCAGAGGTCAACCCAACCTTGGATGTGGTGGATGTTCTTAGAAGACATCCATCTTGTTTTTTGAGACAATCTTTCACTAGGATCTGGAGCTGGCCAGTTAGACAATGCTGGCTCTATAGTAATCCCAGGATAACAGGTCTGCCACTAAACCTGATTTTTTTATATGGGGTCTAGAGATTGGACTTGGTCCTCATGTTTACAGGGCAAACGACATTATGTACTGAACTATCTTGTCAGTCCCCCCTTTTTACTGTGTGGGAGGAGACAAGGGATATAGCTTAGTGGCAGAGTATTTGCGCTCCAGCACTGCCTGGGTCTATAAAGACGTCTTTTATGGTGCTGGGATGAAACCAAGGGCCTGCTAAACATTGCTCTAGCACTGAGCTATATACTTCCACCCCACAAACATGACTGTAGACAGATAAATATAAGCATTCCCATACACTGGACAACATGCTTAAATGCCTTATATGTATTCAATTGTATTTCAAGTCCCTCTTACCCAGGATGTTAAGACAGCTATTTTTACATAGGTTCTTTTTTTTTTTTTTTTTTTTTTGAGATTAAGCAGTCTTTCTTAAGTAAAAGCAACAACCATCAAAAATTAGACAAACTGGATCATCTAAAATGTGATTTTTACTTTGATTTATTTTTTGAGGTAGGGCTTCACAGTGTAGCCGTAGCTGGCCTTTAACTCACTGTTATATAGACTAGGCTGGTTTGAATTCAGCAGTCTGTTTGCCTCTGCCTCCTAAGTGCTGGAATTAAAGGCATGCACCACCACGCCTGGATTCATATAAAATTATAAAAATTTTTGGGTCAGTGAGCTGTCCAGGGAGCTCAGTAGGTAAGAGCCAGATGTGCAAGTCTGATGCCCTGAGCTTGGTCCCTGGAATCCAGATACCAAGTAGCACAGAGGTGCATGTTGTTAATCTCAGAACTCCCAGAACCCAGGAGGCATAAGCAGGAGGATGTTGATTTTGAAGCTAGCCAGGTCTCTCAAAACCAAAACAGATGATTGATAATTTATGTTTCTGTGGTTTCTTGTAAGTCTATAAAGGAAGTGAAGACCACTGCCTACTGGAGGAACGTGTTCGCAGTATACACTTCTGGCAGGACACTAACCTCAACCTAGGTGTGTGTGCTTGCATGGGTATCTCTCACACAGAAACACCTTTAGATAAGAAGGGCCTTATCTACAAGCCCAGAGTTTGATCCCTGGGACTCACATTGGTAGGAGAGAACCATTCCTGCAAGGTGTTCTCCTTTGTGCTCACACAAGATACATGAAGTCAATCTATTCAAACTTTAAAACACATGGGAATACTTCACAAAATATGAATTTGGGGAACAGCATATCAAAACCACATGGATCACCATTTTACATTTCCTTCGACTGGCAAAATTTAAGTGTTGATGAGAAGTAGAGCACAGAAGTGAACTCCTGTAATCCTGGCCCTCAGCTGGGATCAGAAGACTGCCATCAGTTCTAAGTCAGATGGATTACGTATTCAGTACCAGGCCAGCTAGGGCTTTTCACAGTAAGACCCTCTCACAAACAACAAACCCCAAACAATACACTGCTGGTGAAGCTCTTTTGACCTGTGAATTACTTTGGAAAGCATGACATTATCTTTTAAAGTTTAGTATGGACACACCCTCTGGCCCAGCAATTCTACTTCAGGGTTAATTTGTAACTGGTCTTTGTGCACATGGAAAACAGACTGTTAAGAATTTTCAGTCGGCAGTGTTGGTGCACACCTTTAATCCCAGCACTAGGGAGGCAGAGACAGGCGGATCTCCTGGTCTACAAGAGCTAGTTCAGGGCAGGCTCCAAAGCTACAGAGAAACTGTCTCAAAAAACAAAACCAACCAACCAACCAACCAACCAACCAACCAACCAACCAACCAACCAACCAACCAACTAAAGAATCTTCGTTGGTAGTACTGTTTACAGAAGACACAGGGAAGAGCCTCAGAGCACATCGACAGACGTGCACGAGCCAAGTATGGATGTTGTAAAGCAGGGAAATGAGTGACAATATGGGCGGTTCTTGGTAGGGTCCGGGGAAGAATGCAGACTCCCTAGAGTTAATGTGCATTATGATAGGGTTCAAGTAAAGCCAAAAAGCAACTAGAACAAACATGGTTTCAGAATCACCAGTGAAGGGACAAACATCAGGATAGATGAAAGGAGAGTCAGGATCCTCATTTTTTTATCTGAGGTGATGGCATTTCATGGGTTTATAAGTAACCAAATTGGGCTGGTAAGATAGCTTAGTGGGTTAAGGTACCTGCCATTAAACCTGGTGGACTGAATTGGATTCCCAGAACTCACGATGGAAGCAAATGACCCTTAAGGTTGTCTTCGGACCTCCACACATGTTAGCTGCAAATACACTCATACAAATAAATGTAAAAACCTTAACAAAAATAGCCAAGTAATCAGCTAACTAGAGGAGGGCTATCCAGAGAGAACAAGAGCTGAATTTAGTTTATGTACTAGAAGAGCCAGGGTCAGACCCCATTGGGCAACAACCCTCCCTCAGCAGCTGGCTAACTGCTGCTCTTGACCCTCAGCCCTGTGTCTGCTTCTTCCCTGGAGAGTCCCTTCTCCCAGCGTCCACCAAGCTAGGCTCTCTCTCCAGTGTCTCAAGTCTAGGGGTGGTTCTTGACCAGGGCGGAGGGTGTTTGTCATGTGGACAGAGTAAAATCTGCTGACAGCACCAATGCGGACGTCACTTCTCTTGCTCACACTGACCTTCGTTGCCTAGCTGACATCTTGCCAAATGCTGACTTCCTTAAAAATTCAAGTGGCTTATTGTGGAAATCCAAAAAACAGTTATGAGTACCCAAGTCCGTTCCTGCTCCTGGCCAGACCCAGTCTCGGGACTCCACCTTTTTCTCTACACTGACGGCCAAAGGTTTTTCCAAAGGGTACTTTAGACCTCATGTCTCCACGAAGGGAACCCTTCCTTGGGAGTCAGGTGTAGCTCAGTGGCAAAGCATTTGCATAGCACTGATAGGCTTGGATCTGATCACTGAAGGAAAGGGTTCTTGCATTCTGTGTTTTATACAACCTTATCTGTGACAGCATTTGGATTAACATTAATTTTGAAAGTGTTTTACAACACTAAAAAAATCTGACCTGGGCCAGGTGAGGCAGCACACACCTTTGATTCCATCACTTGAGAGGCAGAGGCAGAGGCAGGTGGATCTCAGTGAGTTTAAGGCCAGTTTGGTCTACAGTAAATCCAGCTTGTTCTACATAGGGAATGCTAGGCTAGTCAGGGCTACACAGTGAGTCTCTGTCTATCTCTGTTTGTCTGTCTCTGTGTCTTTCTGTGTTTCTCTCTCTCTCTCTCTCTCTCTCTCTCTCACACACACACACACACACACACCAAACAAACAAAAACCCTGACATGTAGCTCTTGGAGGATGGCATTTTAGAAATCTGTGTTGTACAGAGTGGAAGGCCTGAAGCCTTCACCGACTATGGACTGAGTGGCAGCTCATAGAGCCCTTGGCATGCAGAGTTACTCACCGTATTGAAGTATTCTACACCAGTGGCTTCAAATGCCCTTGACACAGCTTGGGTAGTGGCCACACAGGCAACAGGGTGACCATTGCCGATGCACTTCCCCATGGTGACAATGTCAGGGACGAAGTTTTCCCCCTCCAGCTGGAAGGCCCAAAAGTGCTTGCCTACTCGGCCAAAACCAACCTGGATCTCATCTGCGACAAAGAGCCCTCCGGCCTTGCGAATATGCCTGTGGAGGACAGATGGCAGACAGGGCTGTGGTGAGAGAGACCAGGGGTTGGAAGTCCTGGGCCTTTACTTTGGGCAAATGGCTGGCCTTCTCTGGGTCATTATTTCTTTAAGGGTTTGTTTCAGAAACTTCAGGCAGGGAGGCCAGGTTGTAGTTGGAATTTAGAATAGAATTAAAAAAAAATGAATTAATTAAAAAATGAAAAGCCTGCCCTCCCTTGGGCAGAGCCGGCCCTCTACTCACTCTGCCACCTGGGAGAAGTAGCCAGCAGGGGGAATGATCTGCCCACCCACACTGGGCAGAGACTCAGCGAAGAAGGCAGCGAGCTGTGGATGAGACAGAGTTCAGTGTGCCTCGCTAATATTGGCAGTGCCCCTTCCTTTGGGTGTTATGTCACATCCGAGGGGGTAACTCACCCCACCCCCTTGATGCCTCCATCCCCTTCTACTTGGGCTTGCTCCAGTCAGCTATATTCACTTACAAACCTCCTCCCACCTCATAAGTCTTTCTTCTTGGTCCCCATGTGGTGACCAGCAACAGTCTCAGCTCAGAACAAAAACATGGCTTCATTCTTACCTACACCCTCTTTTATTTTTATTTTTTTTTATTTATTAAAGATTTCTGTCTCTTCCCCACCGTCGCCTCCCCTTTCCCTCCCCCTCCCCCAATCAAGTCCCCCTCCCTCGTCAGCCCAAAGAGCAATCAGGGTTCTCTGCCCTGTGGGAAGTCCAAGGACCACCCTCCTCCATCCAGGTCTAGTAAGGTGAGCATCCAAACTGCCTAGGCTCCCACAAAGCCAATACGCTACACCCTCTTTTAATGTGTCTTGCTGACACCCATTGTCTCATGGCTGTCACATGAGTCCACTTGTTGTCCCAGCTACCGCAGATGCTGTTGTACGGGATACCTCTTCCTGTCTCTCATAGTGCCTTCAGGAGGATGCTTCAACCCAGACACCGAGGTCATCTCTGTCCTGCTTAAAACCCTTTGCCCAAGCATGTTTTCCCTACTGTGTCTTATCCTCTCTCTCTCTCTCTCTCTCTCTCTCTCTCTCTCTCTCTCTCTCTCTCTCTCTCTCTCTCGTTTTTGAGGGAGGCTTTGTCTGTATAGCCCTGGCTGTCCTAGAATGAACTCTGTAGACCCTTAAACTCAGAGATCTGCCCACCTCTGCCTCCCAGTGTGGGATTAAAGGTGTGAGCTATTATGATCAATACCACAGGTTCTTTTTTTGTTTGTTTTTCGAGACAGGGTTTCTCTCTGGTTTTGGAGCCAGCCCTGGAACTAGCTCTTGTAGACCAGGCTGGTCTCGAACCCACAGAGATCCGCCTGCCTCTGCCTCCCGAGTGCTGGGATTAAAGGTGTGCGCCATCACCGCCCGGCAACACCACAGGTTCTTTTGAAGTGTTTGTGGTGCATCAGAGCCCCTCAGCTGGTTCTGCAAACCTCTCAGGCATCACAGCCTACCTTTTTCCTAAACACTCTTTGGTTTGCTGGTCACTCCTTCAGTTTTATAGAGCCCAGTTGCTAGCACTGTGGGCCTTGTTCTCCCAGGGTATACACTCCCACTTGCCTCTCCACAGAATCCCTATCCACTCTCCTGGGAGGCAGCCTCATGGTCCCTGTCTTTAGGCTGTCCCAGTGAATTATATCTGGCATGCAACCTAAGACAGAGAACAGCCCAGTCCTCGGGTCTCCTCTCCTTCTATGTTGAGGTCCCTGGGTAAATTCCAGGCATATGGGTCCTGCCTGCTTGTCTAGGTCCATCTGACAACCTGCTCTGCCTGGCCTCCGTCATGTGGTCCTCATCTGTGCAGCTGCCTGTTCAGTTAGCTCTTCCTCTCCTGACTCCTACCCTACTTGGAATGCTAAATCTTACCTTTTACTATGTAACTCCATAGTAACTTCCTCTAAGGAGCCTCCTTAGATCCACACTGCTCCAGCCTGGGTCCCGGGATCCCTACTCTCTCCATTGTATTAAAACTAGGCTGGACATTAACAAGCCTCAGCCCCTCTTCACACTAGATTCTCAAACCAAAATCAGGGTCTCATTTTGCTCCTTTTTTCAGTACTGGAATTGAGTTCATGTCTCTCACACACATACTAGGTAAGCACAGAGCTACATTCTCACCACACCCCCTTTTTCTTTGAGATGGGGACTCAGTTCTAGCCCTGATTGGCCTGTAACTCCCTAGTTAGGCCACACTGGCCTCAAACTCAAATCTATCTGATTCTGCCTCCTGAGAGCTGGGATTAAAGATGTGAACTACCACACCACGCTGCCCATCTTTTCTTTTTTACTTTGTAAAAAATTCCAGGGCTGGAGGGATGGCTCAGTGGTGGCTGCTCTTCCAGAGGTCCTGAATTCAATCCTCAGCACCCACGTGGTGACTCACAACCATCTATAACTCTAGTCCCTGGGGACCCAACGTTCTCTTCTAACCCCCAAGGGCACTGCACACACGGTGCACAAACATACATGTAGGCAAAACACCCATACACACAAAATACTAAAATAATTTAAAAAATTAAAATTATTTTGTATAGAGTTTCATTAAGTTGCTCAGGGTGACCCTGATATATAGTTCAGGTAGCTAGAATAACACCTGTGCCACCAGGCCTGGGGCTCGTTCTACTCTCACACCGTCTGGGCTCTCAGCATCTTGTCACAGCGGACTTGACATCCTCTGGACTGATGTGGGTGTGGTTACCTTCCTGCCCTTCTCCTGTGCGATGCTGATCACTTGCTTCACCTCACTGGCATAGGCCTCTGCTGGATTGGGGTGGTCCTCCCGGTAGGGGCCCCGGTAGGTGTCTGGGAGAGGAGCCTGCAGGGAGAGACACTGCCATGTCATCCGGGCTTGGGGGTGGAAACTGACCTGGTGCTAATGGGAGCGTGCATACCACATGGACCCATTCCTTCTGGCCATCCAGGGCTCGGAACTTGTAGGGACTGATGTCGATCAAGGAGCTCAGGTGACCGTGATAAGCACTAGGGAGAAGGAGGATGTGGGCTTAGGCATGTTGGCATTTACTCCCTGGACCAGCCTTAGCCACTGTCTACCACTTTTGAAGACAAAACACGGGGAAGCCCATCTTTCTTCCTCAGGTACCAAGTCCTTGAGCTGGGGATGGGTGCAGGCTTGGAGTGACTTCCTGCAAGGCTAATAACTGGCATGCCACAATTCTAGACACCTGCCCACTCTGGGTTCAGTTTTCTCCTCTTTAAAGTGGGGGCATAGGATTACAGTACATCTTAAACATTAACAGGTCTCTGATGGCCTTTGGTCTCTAGAGCAGTCAGCTGAGCCTCCAGATGATGTGTGGCTGCTTTCCTTCCCCAGCTGCTGTTCTCTCAGAAAGCTGGGTGAAAACGACCTCCAGGAAAGCGTCACTGTGGTCTGGCTTTCTTGCTACACTGGCTTCCCGTGATCCTGTATCTTCCACTTCCCCACTTAAGGTCTCAAAGCCAGAGCCTCGCTGACCCCTAGAGGCTTGTGGAGCCCAGGCTCTGGAGAAGCAGGGCTGTGTGAGTTACACTTACTGGTCTAATACCACCACATCCTGGTGTCCTGTGCACTGGCGAGCCAGTCTTAAGGCCAGGTCGTTGGCTTCTGACCTGTGACAGAAAATATGGGCATGACTTGGAACATCACCTAAGCGCTTCCCTTGAAGAAGGAATCCTTCCAGCATTGAGAGCATTCTCAGGACACCAGTCCCTTGGCAACATCTAGTGCCTTCTGTGCCTCAGAGCAGGGAGAAAACAGGAGGTGCACTCTTAAAACTTAAATCATGATGCACCTGTTGTTTGTTTCTCTGGCTGTCCTGGAACTTACTCTGTAGACTAGGCTGTCCTCGATCTCATAGAGATATGCCTGCCTCTGCTGTCTGATTGCTGGGATTAAAGGCGTGTGCCATCACTGCCCTGCTCTGATCTATCTTGAAAGTCAAACAATGAGGCACAGTGATCATTTCTGTGTCAACACTGGGCTCAGGCTGCTCTGCTGAGGAAGACCTGCATGAGGGTGTTATGGGGTAAAATGTGTTCTCCTAAAACTACTACATTGAAGCCCAAATCATAGGACCTCAGAATGACCTGTTTTTCTGTTTTTTGGTTTTTTGAGACAGGGCTTTTGTGTAGCTTTGGAGCCTGTCTTGGAACTAGCTCTTGTAGATCAGACTGGCCTCAAACTCAAAGAGATTCACCTGCCTCTGCCTCCTGAGTGCTGGGACTAAAGGCTGCATCACCACCACTTGGAGGGAGACAAGGCCTTTAAACAGGTTAGTTAAAGGAAGCCTGTTGGCAACCCCAGCCCAATCTGATTGATGTCCATATGAGAAATGGTGTTGATACACAGAGATACCGGGGCATTTGCACAGACCCTATGAGGTGGATTCACGAAGATACCGGGGCATTTGCACAGACCCTGTGAGGTGGATTCACAAAGATACAGGGCATTTGCACAGACCCTGTGAGGTGGGTGGGAAGACAGTCATGTGTTAGGTAGAGCGAGGCCTCAGAGGACACGGACCCTACTGACATGATGGTCTTGGACTTCTGTCCTCCAGAACTTTGAGAACAGACATTATTTTTACTTTCTTTTTGAGATAGGATCTTTCTACATATCCCTGACTGTCCTGGAACTCTGGGTGGACGAGGCTAAACTCAAACTCTGACATCCCCTGCCTCAGCCTCTCAAGTGCTAGGATTAAAGGCACCACCATGTGTGGTTTTAATTAATTGTTTAACCTCCAAGCCTACAACCTTTTTGTTATGGTTACCCTAACCATCAACACAGCGGGGTCAGTGAGATAGCAGCAAAGAGGTATGTTCAGGCAACCGAGGGAAGGAAGCTGGGGCAGAGGAGTGAAGAGATGTGAAGGGTCATGCTTCCAGGACTGAGGAGGAGACTGTCTATCTCCTCAGCAGCATTTGAGATGGGAGTGAGGAGGCCCTGCAGGCTGCCTGGGTGAGAGCCATGGGCATGAGCTAAGAGAGATCCTGGGGCAGATTAGGGCAGATTGCAGGTATGGTTTCTTCCAAGCACACACAGGTGAGTATGTGGATGGTGTATGTGTTTGGGGGAAGGCAGCATCAGGGAGAACCGTGCTGTGATCTCACACAGGCACTGGTAGAAGGCAATTCTATTTCATTACTGGCCTTGAACTCATAGAGATCTGCCTGCCTCTGCCTCCCTGGGACTAAACGTGTGTGCCAGTATGCCCAGGAGAAGGCAGTTCGTGGTTGTTTTTGGATCGGTGAAGTTGGAGATGACTGTCAGATGTCACATGGCCACTTATAACCTTAAGTGGAACACATAGGAGGCATCTGGGTTTTTAAAAAATCCTTTTTTTTTTCCCCCAATTATATGAATGTATGTCTGTGGGGTGGGTTTGTTTGTGCAGTGCCAAAGGAGTCCAGAAGAGGGCACTGAGGGTTACAGGTGGCTGTGAACCACCTGATGTGGGTGCTGGGAATGGAACTTCTGCAGGAGCATCAAGTGTTGTTCTTAACCACTGAGCCATCTCTTCAGCCCCCTCCCTTTATTTTAATTAAAACGCATTTTATGTATGGGTATTTTGCCTGTATGCGCGTTTGTCACCATATATGTGCCTGGTATCTCTGAAATTGCCCATTGGATTCTTTACTGCAGTTACAGAGAGTGTGAGTAGCCACATAGGTGCTAGGAATCAAACCCAGGTCCTTGCTGGGCGGTGGTGGCACACACCTTTAATTCCAGCCCTATGGAGGACAAGGCAGGTGGATCTCTAAAGTTCGAGGCCAGCCTGGTCTACATTGTGAGTTCCAGGACAGCCAGGGATGTTACATTGAGAAATTCTGTCTTGAAAAAGAAAACAAACCTACAACCCCCCCCCCAACCAAAAAAAAAAAAACCAATAAACCAACCAAAGAAAAAACAATGAAAACAACATCAAAATAAACAAAAACAAATCCAAAACACCCCCCTCCCCCAACAAAAACTCAGGTCCCCTGGAAAAGTAGACACTGTTAACTGCTAAGCTATCTGTCCAGCTCCAACATCTGTGTTTGTGATGCAGATTTTTGAGTCCCCAGCACAAGGATGACATTTAATTCCAAGCATATAGATGAGATGACAGAGGGGAAAAAAGGAGTGGGACCTGCCCTGAACAGAGGAGGGGTGGGACCTGCCCCATGAACAGAGGAGGGGTGGGACCTGCCTTGAACAGAGGAGGGGTGGGACCTGCCCTGAACAGAACAGAGGAGGGGTGGGACCTGCCCTGAACAGAACAGAGGAGGGGTGGGACCTGCCCCATGAACAGAGGAAGGGAGGGACCTGCCCCATGAACAGAGGAGGGGAGGGACCTGCCCCATGAACAGAGGAGGGGAGGGACCTGCCCCATGAACAGAGGAGTGGGACCTGCCCTAGCAAACAGTGGCGCTGGCAGCTGGTAGACACCAGAGCCTGTAAACACAAGGAGAAAGCATCTCAGGAAGAATGACTGCTAAGCTCTGCAGGAGACGGGAGATTGTAAGTGGCAATGCTAACTGTGCTTGTTCCTGTAGGCAGATGCTGTTTGTCGGACAGGTGGTAAGCATGTTCCTGGTTCTGTCCTCACGGCCACTCCCACCACTAGCCTCTCTCGTTCTCCCCAGCAGGACAGCATCACCTTCCTGATTAAAGCCCTTTACGGGGGCGGGGCTGGAGAGATGGCTCAGCTGGTCAGAGCAGGGGCTGCTCTTGTAGAAGACCTGGTTTCAGGCCCCACGTGGACGCTCACAACTGGCAGTTCCAGGAGATCTGAAACCACCTGGCCTCCACGGGCATCAGACACGCACATGATGCATAGACATATGCAGGCAAACACTCATACTAAAAACACACACTGAACACTCACACGTATTAACAACAAACATCAAAAGCAGTAATCACTACCAGGAAAAAACAAACAAATCAACCCTCACCCCAAGTCCCTAGCTTTCTAGTGGTCCTAAGATAAACATAGCTTCCCTCACTTGGCTAAGGGACCGCTCACTCCTTCCTCTTTTGGGTCACTAAACATGCCTTGCCCCTTCATGTTACAGGGCCTTTGCCCAGGCTGTGCCAGGTGGTAATCAACCCTGATAAGAACCCTTCCTTCTCCCTTAAGCTGCCACTTTGGGAGCTCTAAGCATCTACCCAGAAGCAGTCAAGTCAGGCCCCATCACTCTGTACTCTCCCTCCAGAAAGGACCCCCTCCACAATTTCACATTTCTCTGAAGAACATTTGATGACCCTTAAGCTTGCTGAATCACATCTGAGGGCTGAATCCGTGAGGAAGAAATAAAGAAGTCCATTACTTCACTAAGCCCCAGTGTGTCTGGAAGGGAGGGGATGGTGTCTTCTACAGAGGAAGTACCAGGAGCCAACATAAAGGCTTCAGAGTCTACAACCAGGAAGGTTAGAAGCCTCTCCCTGAAGTGGGTTCTACAGTGTGGCACCCACATGGGTGATTTTCTCTAGACATGTTTTCAACAGGGCACATTGGTCACACAGTTCACTTACCCAGAATTCAGGAAATAAAACACAGAGAGCTCCTCCGGCAGGGTCTCCGACAGCCTCTGGGCATAGTCCACAATGTTGTCGTGAAGGTATCGGCTGTTGGTGTTGAGCATCAGGTTCTGTTCGTGTGCGGCTTGGACCACGGTGGGATGGCAGTGACCAACTGCAAGAGGGCCACCTCCATCATCAGCCAGCCCCACCAGATCCCCCTCAGCTCTGTCTGCAAACCCACGCAGGGGAGACGAAGTTAACGGAGGCAGGTGCAAAGCGGGGGAAGCACAGAGATGATGTTCTGGAATGGAAAGCCTTGAGAGACAGTCCAGCAGAAGGAGAAACGTTCTCCGGAAAAACCAATGTGTTTAGAGAGGTGTCTTGAGACCTCTGGCTGGAGGGGAACGGTCAGAGGGTCAGGGATAGTAACAGAACAGAGTTAGTGAGCGCTTACCACGTGTCAAGCATTGCCAAAGCAATTTAATAGTATTAACAATTATCCAAAACACCCGAGTCAGACTAGATGCTTCGCCAGCTGAGTCTTGTCTATTGTCCAATGAGCAACAAGGCTCAGAGGACTAAGTAACTTCTGCCCCTCCCCCTCGCCCCTCCCCCCCCCCAGGACAGGTTCTCTCTGCAAAGCTGATTGTCTTGGCCTTTAACTCACAGATTCACCTGCCTCTGTCTCGTGAGTGCTGGGAGAGTCTTGGATTTTAACCTCTCTCTGCTTCCAATGTGCCTTTTAATTCAAAGCCTGCCTTTCCAACATCAGCTCTGGTGGCCCCAGTTGGCTAAATGCGTACTTCAGTTTTCCGTAGTCCGAGTGTCTCCCCCC